TCCCAAAAGTTCTATTAAAATCCATAAATTATTTTTAGTAGTCTTTCCTCGGAATAATAAATAATTTGACGATAAAACTTTGTTTTATTAAGTTTGGGGCCTTTTTTTTTTTTTTTTTTTTTCAGCGAATTAGTGGAACAATCTGTTTAGTAGTGTTAAAAAAAATAAAATAAAAAGAATCCATTTATTTATTCCTGCTAAATTTTCAGTAAAAAAAGAAAACGGAAGAAAAAAATTGTTCAGCAAAATAGTGAAAAATGAAATTTATATCTACTAGCTTAAAGATTCAAAGTCATTAATGAAAATGTGTCTTCCGGCTGGAATCAAACCTAATCTGAGAAACCACATTCTTATCAGGCATGGTTTTAGCCACACAAATTCATTGCTAAAAGGCAGAGCTCAGTTTGAGTTAAGAAAAGCATATTGAACCTTGTTTGCTGTATGGTTTCCCGTGACTTAATGGTAAATCATGCTTGGCTTGAAAGTAGCTTCTCAGATTAAAAAGAGAATGCATGTTTTACTTTTATTCCAGTCAGAAGACACATTTATAATCTCTGGGTGAGTATATCAAAATTTCAGTTTAAAATAAAAGAAAAAGAAAAAACAACAGTGATGTCTAAGTTTACTGAAGGACATTAATCAACTGAATATGGCGTTTCTTTAGTAATTATTACTACGAATAAATGACCATTAATTACTTAAAAAAAAAAAAAAAAAAAAGGTTGGATGTATTTAAAACAAGTTTACAACTATAGGAAATAAACGAAACCTTATTACAAAAACAATTACATACCCACATATATTACCATATTAAAACATAACCGAAACTTTATTTTCTAACCAATAACAGACAATGTTACAAACATGCCAAAATATTCCACGAATACACGCTGTTCATATCAAAATGTCTATTGGTTTGGAATTAACCATGTGAAATATTTGAGCAAAATAAAAAACTAAAACGAAACCCTATTTTTCTGGAGCCTACATTCGGTGTGTAGGGTGAGGGAATTCTTATAAAACCCCCACAGATTTCGACTTTCAGCAGCAGATCTGCCACTGTCTCCAAGTCATTCAAACACAAAGCTATGGCTCCCTCCACTCTCAGCGCGTGCCGAAAGAAACATGGGTCGGCGACTTCAAACGAATCCATCTCTAACAGCAGAAATGGTCAGTGAATCCTCGCTGATGGCAAAAGTAATTTCTGAACCACAGCTTTTTACTGTCGGCCAACTTACCCGCAAAAGACTAACTTACATAATTGACGCCATATAAGACGCATTTTTTTTTTTTACTAAAAATATCTTTTAAAATTCCCTGCGTCTTATATTCCAAATGTATGTTTAAAATTCATGATAGTCGGCCGACATTAGCTACCTGACAACTCCTATTAGTTTAGACTTTAATAACTTTCATATACCTATTGTATTTTCATTATTTAAAAGGCTATTATGCAGATTAAAAGTGTTATCATTGATAATATTCATTATATTAATTTCATCATATTAGTACTTTGTTTCACTCAAATTATATGCAATAAATTCAAATTATATATTTGTAAAATATATTTGTTTCATTAATATTTTTCTTGTGATAACTTTTCGGTTGCATTGGTATAAATACAATCAGAATTTTTATATCCTAATTATTCCAATAAAATGTTTACAAGACGCAGGTTGTACAGATCATATAATGGAAAATTTTTTACTGGATTTTTTTAATGGTAACTGTACTGTTTTGCTCAATTGCTTGATTTTTATTTGGTTTCCTTACCTTTGGATATAATAAAGTTTTTATAGGCTCATGTTCTTTTTTTCTCTTCTCCCTATTATTTTTTCGTTTAATTGTAATCGTGGTTAACCAAAATAATACCCCATAAACAAAGTCTAGGCTGTACCATTTACTAATAATTTTACTAATTACTAATTTTTTCCTGATTTTCAATATGGTAGAGTAATGAATAGTGGCTCGGGTTGAGGAATCGGAGAGCGGAGTTCAAATTACAGTCAAATCAAATCTACACATTCGCTTACGTGCTAATACCCTTGGGAAAGGTATGAATTCTCTTCTCTCTATTCTTCTAGAAGGACAAACCGGGTTCTATAGCCTTGGATGGCAACTGGTCTACCGCAGAAAGAAATGGCAACCCACCGTGGAGAAAAATAAATCTGCATCGTCAGTCATACATTGAAGGATACATTATCGCCTAAGCGTGTATCATGCATGGCACATAACTGACTTATACACCCGTGTGTCTTATATGCCGTTTAACAGTAACTTAAAGACTATTTTGTTGACTATGTACATAAATATAAATGATTTATTTAACAGGTATAATAACAAGGTTTTCTTTATTTTTCATTAGTGTTTGGAATTCGACCATTCGGATTAAACCTGAATGACAGAATTTCCTACTTGCCCTAGGTTTTAACAACTCTTCAATACATTTTAAATTTCAATTCAAAAAGTGTTCTACAGAGTTTATAATATTGTAAAAATGATAGACATCATTGCTTATTATGAAGACGTGGAGAAGGTAATCTGTTCCGATGTGTCTGTAAAAAATTCTGCTGTCCGAAGTAGTTACGCTTTGTTGGGGGAGGGGGTGTTATCAGAAATATTTTCATTTTTAAATAGCAATACTATTATTATTTTTAATCACAAAATAAATCCGAAGTCTAATTACTATATATTTTTTTAAGTTTTTTTTTTTTTTAATTGCTTCAGTTACTGTAGATTAAAATTACAACTTTTAAAAATCACTTATTTTATTAAAAGAAAAATATTTTTCAGATATATTCCCCGACCTTTAAGTCTACATCATGACTCCCCTCCAAGCACTTGAATGTGCCATGCTTGAAATAAAATTTAACATTATTCTTGATACAGTCATTTTATTTTTTTATCTTCAGATTTTATTATATATATATATATATATATATATATATATATATATATATATATAGTGTAACGGATATAAGAGAGTTGCCGGGACCAGAGAAGAAGTCTCTTATATCCGGGTTTGGTCTATTTTATACATTAACACAGGCTCTAATTTGGAACCAGAGAAAATCTCTTATATCCGGGTTACACTGTGTGTGTGTGTATGTATATATATATATATATAAAGCAATAATGTACAGAAAGGCAAAAGGTTTTTAAAGAAAAAAAATAATGGCCTTTTCGAGTTTATCGCTGTTTGTGTTTAGGAAACAGAAAATACCATTTGTTTATTAAATCTACTGACAGAAACAGTCAAACTGTAGATTTTTAGAGTATAATGAATTTGAATTCGCCAAGTGAGAGGGAGATGAAAAAAAAAAAAGTTTTATTTATATACACACACTCACACAAGGCTGAGGGCGCGAAGAAAAAAGAAATAAAAAAATCAGGTGCCCCCAATGGTGGTTGCTTGCAAATGAAGCAGCCAAGTGGAATTATGAAGCAATAACTGCTCACTTTATCTCGCCAGCAACTTTAGTCTGGATGGGAGAGGGTTGGGTCGATCTCGGTGGTGTTGGTTGGGTACACGTGTGAAAACTACCTAGGTGTTTGTGTGTGGCGGGTCGGCACATTTCTGTAGAGAGGGTAAAGAGGAGAGAAACGGAAAAAAAGGCGGGTGTAAGAAAGGAAATAAAAAATAAAAATATTTAAAAAATAAAAATAAACTTTCACCATAACCCAATTTTCCAGTGGGGGGGGGGAATTCTGCAGATTGTTGGAAATAGAAAAATGTTTGTCTCATGCACGTCCACATAAAAAAAAAAAAAAATTCACTTAAAAAAGACTAAACCCCAGGTTTCCTCACCGATAACCTTAATTGGTACTACTTAAGTAGATTGGTCCACAAATAAAAATTAGGGAAATGTTTTTTGTTTTTATTTATTTATTTTTTTTTTTTAGAAAATAATTTTTATCGATTAGCATTGTTTTTAGACCTTCCTCTGGCCGTGACAAGTTTCAGAATCAAAAAATGTTATCGAATTGGAAGGGGTCCCTACCTAGCGAGTTTGAGTGAATTAATGACGAGGTATGAGGAGAGAGATGGTAAAAAAGATACAAAAAGTTACTAAGAGCGATAAGGGATAAGACATTTTGACGAAAACACAAAGGCTGATAACCCTGTAAAAGTCAGGGATCAATTTAATACTGTATCGATATTATAAACAGGTCCCCTCCGTCTTAAATCGATAACAAATCAATATTTTTCTATTTTGACAAGTGTCGCGGCTCAAGGAAGGCCTAAAGAATGCTAAAGTACAATAATAACTTCCTCTAAAACAAAACAAAAAAAAAATCCCTACTTTTTTTTATGAGTGGACCAAAACAAAATAATACAGCTGTTTAAAAATCATGCTCTATGCTGTTTTTTACGCGACCTAGTGGAGGTACCCAAGTTTCCTGTCGTTTTTAAAAAAATATACAGTGTAACCCGGATATGAGAAACCCGGATATAAGAGAGATTTTCTCTGGTCCCAAATTAGAGCCTGTGTTACCTAAATAAAATAGCCCAACCCGGATATAAGAGAAACCTGGATACAAGAGACTTCTTCTCCGGTCCCGACAACTCTCTTATATCCGGGTTACACTTAAAATTATAAATATATTTTTGAAATGACATGCCATTTGCGCTAAAATATTTTTGTGACTTTTTAAAAGTGCTTCCCAATCAACAAAAAAGTTTGGAAACTTTTTTTTTTTTTTTTTTTGCATTTTTAACCTTTTAGTTTTTAGTTTAAAGTTTTTAAAATGTGGACATTAGTTATGGGACTATGTGTCATCGACCCGTAAAGGTCGAGCTAGTCTAGTTTTATCCACATTGGGTGCTGGCTTTTCAGACGTAGACGACGTAAGAATAATAGTAGACATAATAATAGTAAAAAACAAAACACACACAATAAGTGAAATGCATTGGAAAGAAATCCTAACACTAAAACAGTTCGCCCACCAAAAACAAGATGGCTACTGAACTGCAAGCAATTTTAATTTCCAAAGTGAACCCGAGATTGGCGAGAAGGGAAGGAAAGATAAGTAGCCGTCCCTTCGATGGTAGCACCCGATAGTATGAAGGTGGTAAGATAAAAAGGGGGGGCTCGCTCTTCGCAGAGAAGGTCAAGTGCCAGAAAAAGAAAGAAGGAGGGGGCACAAGTTCAAAAAAAAAGAAGCACTTTACAATGCAGAGTGCAGGAAAGGAAACAGAGAGGAAGGAGGGGGAGCGGGGCAGAGAGTGTGTGTGGGGGCAAGGGAAGAGGAGGGGAGGTGTTTTGGGTCAGACAAATTCAGTAGAGGAAAAAACAGATTCAAAATCATTATTATTATTATTATTATTATTATTCCTCCATAGTAGAAACAGCAGCCGAGGCTAAATGCACAATAATACTCGAAGAAAATATATTTGTCATTCATACCTTGTGAAAATGTAGGCCACTGCAGTAAAGCGGGTTAGATGTTACGGAGGAAGAAAAAAAAAAAAAAAAAAAAAAAAAGAGAACACGTAAAGAGGGAGGGGTTAAAGAAACTAAGAAAGAGCGAGAGAGAAAAAGAGGAGAAGGTTGAATAAGTAAAAGGTGTGTGTGTGTGAAGATGTAAATAAATAATAATACACTTTTCATGTCACAAATAAGAAGACATGTAATTACATCATAGGCATTTTTAAAATGCCTCTGCTATTTAAAATTCAAAGCGTGTTAGATTTGAAAATTAATTTAAATCTAACACGCTAAAATAAAATTTGAATAATTTTAAAATTATTTAATTTTTTCTTTTATCTATTATAAATTTTTGTTCACTTTTGAAAATTTTTTATTTTCGTTTTTAAGGTGACGTTTCTCTTCTTAACCATCAAGAGTCTTATTTCTTTTGTTACAGAGAATTAAAGTGGAACGGAACTACACTTTGATCCGTTTTTTGGGACATTGTCAGAAGGGTTTTTAAATAATGTGAGTATATATATATATATATATATATATATATATATATATATATATATATATATAGTTGGATAGATGTGAGTTTGTGACCTAGGTTTCACGCTTTAGCAATCGTCAGACAAACTGATTAATGTTTTTAAAACATGTTTGCGTTCTTTAATGAATGACAAAACGACAAAATTTCCCCACCACTTCCACAATAACACCAATACACCAATATACATAAACCCAAATTTTTAAAACATTAATCAGTTTGTCTGACGATCGCTAAAGCGAGATGATAATGTTCTACAAACTCATCTATCTAACCAAATATATTAGCTCTATAGGATATTACTATTTCTAAAAAGTACTTCATATAATATATAAATAATTATATTTATATATATATATATATATATATATATATATATATATTAAATATATATATATATATATAAACATTTTATATATAAATATATAGTTTTATATATTTATTTATTTAAATACACTTTTCATATATTTATCGTTTGCAACATGATTTTAAAATCAAATATTCTGATATCTGTGTTTCTTCGTCTGTTATCAATCTTTTTTAAGAAACAAATAAAGGTAGTAGGGCGATTAAATTATTTCCTTCAGTTCATTTCTCTCCCCATGGCACGTTTATTTTTTTTTCTTCAAAATAAAAAACGGCACTATTATTTTGTTCCACTTTTTATTAAACATATAAAAAATTCAGACGAATGTTTATTTGAACCGACACATTATATTTTATACCAAAAAAAAACATTCCCACCTAAGCGATACTACGGCACTTGTATTTGATACAGAAGTGGAATCAAAATTTGAGTATTTCAAATTCTTAACGAGAATTTCTGTAATTGTAATTTTTGTTACTCTTCACAATTACAAAAACCATCATCCAATGGACATTCATATTAAATATTATCTTTTTAATTTTTAGGAGAGGAAGCATTGTCAGCCATTAATTTTTGACTAGTATTTCTTGATGTATATACAAGGATATATATATATATATATATATATATAAATTGTATGGATATGAGTTTTTGTTGACCCTGGGTTTCACGCCCTTCCGATGATCAGACACAATCATTAGCTCTGTCGCTGATATTGAGCACTTAACAATAAGTACCGCTCATATATATATATATATATATATATATATATATATATATATATATATATATATGTGTGTGTGTGTGTGTGTGTGTGTGTGTGTGTGGATAGATAGATATTAACTGGGATATAAACAGACGGACAGACATATTTTATATATATATATATATATATATATATAGATAGATAGATAGATAGATATCTGATATAGACAGACAGATATATATATATATATATATATATATATATATTAACAGATATAGACAGAGGTAGATAGATATATATTAACTGATATAGACAGACAGACGGACGGACGTAGATATGATGAATAGATAGATAGATAGATAAAGATAGACAGCCAGCAAGACGGACAGATAGATATATATAGATATATATATACAGACAGACAGACAGACAAACCGATAGATAGATAGATAGATAGATAGAT